ATACCAATGTCGTAGAATGCCAAAGTCAAACGACAAAAAGACGAAATTGTAAAGAAATGAACATGAAGACTAGATTATTCGCCAAACCATATTCTGTGCCATTTGCTCAACCTTCATGACCACGTAGATTTCATAATGAAAAGAACTTTTTTTTTTGCAAAACTTTTTTTTATTCGCACGCGCCCATCAGTTTTGGGGTTCCCGGAGGATGTCATCCATATAATCAAATAAACATGACCTAAAGGTACATTCTCTACCTCTAGTTTTCTATTCTTTGTGTATTGTTACAAGGATATTCTCACTTAAACTCAATGGTATCACCTGGTGCGTGAAATTTAGTTTCGGATGGAAATTTAGGGGGAAACGGTGAACGTTTGCTTTCCTCTGTTATACATGTAACTTTGTTATTGTTATATTATTATTAACGTATTGGAGCTTGCAAAAAGATATGCACATATGAAGCAAAGCACGCAAATTAATATTTATCTTTCTCTACTCTTTTTCTAGAAATTGTCACCGATGCTCCCATGTCCGTGGAGACCAATTCGTCTTGGAGAAAATTGCGTGGATTGTAGATTGGTTCTCTGACTACATAACTTGAGACTATAGTGGAGCAGATAACATCAAATTTTGGAGGAATCTTTCAAATTGTGATACAAGCACCAAACTTGGTACAAATATTCATGAGTATTTGTACCAAGTTTGGTGCTTGCATCACAATTTGAAAGATTATTTCAATCTGCCCCACTACTGCGGTTGTTATGAAAGCTGAAATGGAAAAAAAAGGAATCCTATCTCTGAGCACAGACAATCGGATATGCTACCCCCTTAAAAATCTACCAAACTACTTTGTTTCGTTCCTGATATCAATTCAAATATTTTCACTTATATAGGATATGCTACATTCTGAATGACAGAAAAGACAGACACTGAACATTTCAAGTGCTGTGCAAAATTTATTCCTCCAAAATGTTGATGCTTAGGCCATGTTGATTTGATTATATGGATGACATCCTCCGGGAGCCCCAAAACTGATACGCGCGTGCGAATAAAAAAAAAGTTTTGCAAAAAAAAAAGTTCTTTTCATTATGAAATCTACGTGGTCATGAGGGTTGAACAAATGGCACAGAATATGGTTTGGCGAATAATCTAGTCTTCAAGTTCATTTCTTTACAATTTCGTCTTTTTTCCTTTGATTTTGGCATTCTACGACATTGGTATAGTTTTTATCAATTTTTTTTTGTAACTTATGGTATATTTTTGCTCATTTTGCAACTGTTTTGTACGATTTACAGTATGGTTGAAAACTTTTTTTTGGAAACGGCCGATAATTCATGCGCGCGCAGATGTCATCCATATAATCAAATCAACATGGCCTTACATTTCATTAATAAACTTAATAAGATCAAACTTACAGTAAAGAATCACATCAAATCTCATCAAGTGTACAATTATATTTTGTACACCATTGTCACAATTATGCACTGGAAAATGTGCTAATATAACAGGAATATAAAAGAATAAGAGAAAGACTTAATATCAACCTATCATCAATAGAAAGTGACCAACAATAATTTGAAAATGCTTCTTTTGGTACAGATATTATTTAAAGATTCTATGAACAGTTTAAGACTTAATATCAACCTATCATCAATAGAAAGTAACCAACAATTTGAAAATGCTTCTTTTGGTACAGATAAAAAGTCTCTATGAACAGTTTAAGTCCTTACTCACTACGTAAAAGATTGAATGTAAGTACCCACTCAATTCAGAATCTGTAAATCTGCAATGTTGTATTTGTATGACGTTTTTCAAAATATCAGAGTTACATCATCATCATCATCATCATTCATCCTCCGTAGAGGTGGAGCATACAAAGTTAGCTCGCCACAACTGTCTGTCATACATCACTGAGAAAAGTTAGAGTTACTATGACACAATATCAGATTATTCCAACAGAATTAACTGTCTTGTTGTTACATTAAAATTAGAGTTAGTAAATAATGCCAGAGGATCAACTAAAGAATTAATTCTAAGAAACACAAGGACTGAATGATGATGTTGTAGCTTACAACTGCAGCCTACTATATTTTCTATTGTCATTATCACAAAGATCGTGTTCGCGATTCAAGCCTTCTGAAGTGTTGTACATGGAGCATGTAGAGCTTATTGTTGGAACCGTACCTTTATACAGGATACAAGCTGCATTTCTTGGATAATTAATATGTTCCACATGGCGCTCTGTGTTGTGCGAAACGGGCATAGCGTGGTTTTCGGAGTTTTCTAGTGATGGTGTATTCTGGTTTTCACCCGGGGAAACCAAAGACCTGCCATCCAAACCTTGTGTAAAGGTGCACTGGTGCGCTGAGTTCACTATCGGTGACGTAGGTGTAATTCTAGGTGCAACTGGCTGTCTGGGGTTCGAACCCCCTGCGACAGTTGCGTTG